AAAAATCGAAGACAGTTTTGAGCAAGTGCATTTCTAAAATATCTTTTAGAATATTTTGATTTCTAAAATATCTAGTTGCAGCTCTTTTTCTCCCTCTAAGCAGAGAGAAAAAAATCACTCCACTTCCTCTGTTCCAGTCAGGAGCTCCCTGTGTCTGGTGAATTTTGAACTACTTTGAAAAAGAAGCCGAGAGAGAGAGAGAAAATAATCCTGAAAGACAGTATTTTCAGTCCACAGAGCCACAACAGAGAAGGCCCTGTCACAGAAAAATTAGAAGCAAGGTCGCATAAATGAACTTTAAACTGTCAGGGAAAATCATTTCAGGAGAACACATTCCTTGAGATGTTTGATCCTACACAGCTAAAGGGTTTAAAGATCAGAACAATTATACTGAATTGGGCTTAGAAATCAGGTAGTATATACATATTATATATAGTAGGTTCTTTCTGATAGAAAACCATCAATAGATGGGTAGCAACTTTCTCTCCCAGGTAAAATGTCCAAACTGTCTTCAAGGATGATAATCTAATATGGGAATATTATGAAATGGGAAAGTATGTTTATTACAATTTTTGGTAGCGTAAGATGTTATGTAATAGTTAATATAATCAAGAAAGTAAATATGTCACAGTGAAACACTCTTGCTGTCAATGGTATTTCATTTAATCATTTCTATATGGAGCCTGCATTCTAGTCTTGTTATGGATCACATGTAATTGTAGAGCATCGGGCCTTCAAGCAAGACACATTGATGAAGTGGACATACCTTATACATACCTTGCACACTATACTATCACTGAGCTGCTCCCCTGTAGTCTATTGCAGGGGTCCCAAAACTTTTTCACCCCGCAGACTGGCTGGGGAAGGCAGGGCACCCTCGTAGTGATGCGCATGCACAAATGAGCATGCATGCATGCGCAAATGGCAGTGTGGCACATGTGCGGGCACGGGTGCGCTCATGAGCATGCGCAAATGGCAGTGTGGCACTTGTGCGGGCACGGGTGCGCTCATGGGCATGCGCAAATGGCAGTGCATGTGAAATCAACTGTGTGGGGGTGAGTGCATGGGGGTGTCTGTCTCCGCAGCCCAGTGTGGCTCAGGCCACAGACCAGCACTGGGCCATGGACCGGGGTTTGGGGACTTCTGGTCTATTACATTTCAGTGCCATTGTCACAGATGACAAGGCAGCAGCACTGCCACTACCAGGCCAGGCAACAATCAGATAATACCAGATTCTACATATAAAGATGCAGGATCAAGCCCGGTTCCTAAAACTTGTTTTGGAATATTGTGCCATCTCTACCTTCAGCTTTGCCTTTCTTTCTACTTCCTATTTCCTGCCATGCCTACAAGACTACCAAATCTGACAGAATTAGTTAGTCATGCTAATTAGTAAGAAGTTACATATAATCAGCCCCTTTGGATCTCCATATGGTACCAATCGATGTGTAGAACTACTTAGAGGATGATCAGATGGGCATATAGCTTGCTATTTGGTTCACCTTTGGTGCAGTTTGGTTCACACTATTTTCTGGTGACCACACGTGTTTTCAATAAGAATGATCCATCCTGCCCCTTTTACAAGCTGTCCAGCTCCTTTCTGGCACGGCATTAGGGCTGCAATATATTTGGTACAATTGGGAACATTATTGATTATCCTGTTCTGCAGCCCTTGTGGTTGGTTAATTCATACCCAAATAGAACTGTGGGCAGTGTCATTTGAGGCGACAACTGTGTGACATATTCAGTGGGACATAACATTAAAAAGGAGGACAGAGAAACCCCCTCATCTATTTTATTCTTTTTAATATTTCGTAGATTGATGAAGTGCTATTCTAATACATCGGAGGTGTCTGGTATTTATTCATTTAAAACATTTTCCTTGATTTTCTCCTTAAAAAGGACCCAAGGCAGCTTATAGATTTTTTTTTTTAAAAAAAGCTAAAAAGAGTAAGTATACAGATATTTTAAAAGAATTAAACAAATATTATATTAAAATTGTAAATGAAATCAATACGAAATCAATTTAAAAGTAGTACACAACAATCCATTAAAAAACCCTACTCAGATAGCCATTCAATAAGGGAAGGCCTGCCTGAAGAGAAAGGTCTTTGTCTACTTGTGGAAAGACAGCAAAGATGCAGCTAGCTTGGCTTTTTCGGGGGGGGGAGCTCCAAAGTCTGGGAACAGCAACAGAGAAGGCCCTCTCCCATGTCTCCACCAAATGTACTTGGGAAGGTGGTGGGACCAAGAGAAAGGAGGCCCCTGGTCATCTTAACATCTGAGCAAAGTCATAAAGGGAGAGACAGTCCTTGAGATAGCTTTGACGCAAGCCATTTAGGGCTTTATAGGTTAAAAACAGCACTTTGAATTGTTCCTAGAAACAGATTGGCAGCCTTTGGAACTGCTGTAATGGGGGTGGATAGGTGAGAGGCTCCAGTTAAAATCTGGCTGCATTCTTTTGGATGTGCTGAAGTTTCCAAACACTTTCCAAATGCAGATTCATGTTGAGCATGTTACAGTAATCCAGCCATGATGTAACTGAGGCACATGTCACTGTGGCTAGATCAGCTCTCTCCAGGAACAGCTTGCACACTGGTTTCAGTATGATATCTATAACGCTGTGTGTATACCATGTTAGGCTAATGCATGGCTGCAGTGCTGTGTCACTTACAGTGGGGTCTTGACTTAAGAACGGCTCGAGTTAAGAACATTTGACTTAAGAACCACTCTCATAGGAAAATATTGACTTGACTTACATACTTAGATTTGAGTTAAGAACTGAAAAAAACCCACGTGGGAGGCAGGGAAAGTGCAAAATGTGAACTTTCAGCTAACTGCTGGCCAGTGAAAAGGGTGCCTGTCTGCCTCCTCACTCCTCCCAGCGTTTAGAGAGTGGATTGGGAGACAGTCTTCGGACTGCCTGGTACTGTCCTGCCTGGACTGTATTTTCCCTGACTTCCCGGAACCTTTCTTGACCTAAGAAAAAAAGAAACAAAATATCCCCCTCTAGTGGTCGAAGGCAGAATAGCAGCTTCCCTTTAATTTCTATGGACGGAAAAGAGCAGATACGGATCAAATGGTTTTCAATGCATTCCTATGGGAAATGCAGATTTGACCTGAGAACTTTTTGACTTGAGAACCACCTTCCAATACGGATTAAGTTCTCAAGTCAAGACCCCACTGTAGTTTATTTAACAAGGGAGGGAGGGTTTCTGTGGCACATGGAATGAGGTCTGCAAAAAGGCATGGTAGGGGATAGGGATGGGGGCATCAGTAATTAAAAGAGGGACAAATTGAAGTGATCCAAAAGGCTTCTGGACCCTTCTCATGTAAGAAGCAGCAGCTCCTGTATGAATGGAAGAATCACTCAAGTGTGAGAAGAAATAAATCCCACCAAAGATAAGAACCTTGTAAGTATGGACTGGATAGCTCCAACTTCCCTTTCTGGTCATGCTATTATATACATTACAAGTCCTGCAAGGAATCCGACCTTCCTATTAGTAGCAATCTCATTTGCAATGCAATCCCACATATAACGTAAGCAGTACCATCCACTCTTGAGGAGCATGTAGCATTGTAGGAACCTTAAGGCTTACAAAAAGTACCCCCTGAGAAAAGGTGAAGGGGAGTTTATAGCAGCCAATAAGGAGTGAGCATACTCATACTTGATATTCTGTATACAATGAGTATGCTCACTCCTTATTGGCTGCTGTAAGCTCCTCTTGCTATGGGGTTCTAGGGACAGATGGCCACCATGGGTAAGTAAGAAGGATATAATGGAGCGTCTTAGGAGATGACACAGTTGGCTTGTTGGAATCGTGTACTCCTCACTCAAAACAGCTCCTTCAAGTCATTTTGTTGCAGGTCTCACTTGTACAAAACTATTTCTTAATGACCTCTCTGAGACTACAGTACCAAGACAGTACTAGGGGGAGAGGCATGAGACAACTAGGAGTGGCTACTGTCTTAGAATATTGGACTGTGTATCTCTTTATACTTTAATCTCTGTTTTTTCTCAGTGGAATATATTCTCTCTCTCTCTTTCTCTCTCTCTCTCTCTCTCTCTGTGTGTGTGTGTGTGTGCGTAACTCAAATTACAATTTGACCCTTTATTTTGCCTTTTCTGTTGAATTTCTTTGTGGGAACACTGTAATACTTTAATTACTTAACTTATTCAAGAGTAGAGCCCACCAAAACATTTTTAATTTGATGCATTGCAAAACACTGCTACTAATCCTTCAAGTGCTACCACATTTTCACTAGCACAGGATATGAGAAAGATGGGATTGTTTACCCCTGCAAGATTAAACAATCATTGGGATTTAAAAGCTTAATCTGTTGGTGTTTGTACTGTAATAGCTCACCAGTCCCCGCTCTGTGCGCAATTGGATGCAACGCTAGAGTCATTTATGGAGGGGGGGATGCTCTGTCTTTTGATCTGTCTTTTGAAATGCGTTGTGGTGTGAAGCTGTAAAGCTGTCCTGCCGCCTGTGTTTCTTTCTTCAGTGTCTGGCAGGATAGTACTGCTGGGGGGTGGGGTGGACTCAAAAAGGGGGAGTGTTCCTTACATGAATTCAGGCTATTGTTTCAGACACACGTCTGCTTTAGAGAAGTATCACAAAGCAGACCCGTTACTTATTCAGATGCAGAAGCTCCTTTCCGCACACAAGCCAGCCCATTCAAGTCACATGCCAGAGGTCTCAACAGAATGGGCTGTTGCAGCTGCCTCAAATCTGCTGTCTAACGTTAGAAGCAGTTGGACAAACCAGACAGCAGTCAGCCTCCCGGGGTCTGCCGAAGACAGGGAAAAGATCTGGGACTCCAGCACCATGTTTGCCGAGGAGCTGTGGCTTGAGAATGAGAAAGCTTGCACTGTGGTTCACAAATCGAAGCGAGGAAAGAAGCGCCAAGAGCTGCTGGCGGTGGCCTTGGGGGTTAAGATGGGAGTCAAGGGGGCACTCTTGTGGCAACCTCTGAAACTCTTTGCCTATTCACAGATCACCTCTTTGGTCAGAAGGGCTGCATTAACGCAAAATGACAACCATTTCAACTATGAAAAAGCACACAATTTTAAGGTAAGAATTCGACAGACTCCTTCTATTTTGAAAGCTGTTGTGTTCTTTATTCCTGTTCTGTTTGTTTCTGTCACGTTGTTCTCCCTCTTCCCCATACACCCCGCATTTCCGTGTATCAGCTTGTGACCAACATCATATTGATATGTGTGATGGTGTCCTAAGAACTACTGATAGTATAAAACTTTCTGTTATGAATAAAGGGATTTTTCTTGGAAAAAGAATTCAGCTGCGTGGATGAAATCTTGCTGAAATATAGAGTGCATTCCTCTCCCCAGTGACCCAGCCTTGAATCTCATATAAAGCAACCACCTTAATAATTTTAACCATACATACATGTCATGAAGTCTTCCTGAATGGGACCTATTCATGAGTAAATATGGTCAAAATCAGGCTCACCTGTTTTTAAACCAGGTCATTTGATTGATTGCCCCTATTTACTTTATTCTTGCTGTGATATCGTGCATTCTAAATTTGATGAAATGGTATCCCTGTCCTGTTTCCAATTTCTCCTAGGAAGACAATTATCCTGTTTATCATTCATGTTAGGTACAAAGGACATGGAGCTGTGGCATCCGCAAGAAGTGGTGTGATGCTGTTGTTTAACAAATTTTGTTAAACTCATGTGCAACAAAGCACTTTTAAGAGTCCCACTGGGCTGACTCTTGGAGAATTTTTTTGCTCTTGCTTGCCAGAAGCTAAAGTTATTACAAGTACAGGCATTTGTCTAACGTACAGGGTTATATATGCAAAGAACCGTTTCTCCTTTCCAGCAGTGTTTGGGATGATGTCTGCATCTTAGAAGGTGACCCATTTTTGGAAACTTGGCTTCCAGACATCTTGTTCTACTGTATGTCTTTTGCAGGAAGAACTGCATTTGTTCCAGATTGAGACATTGCCCAGCCAGTACAGTTATAAACATCCAAACTATTGCTCAGCAGTTACAAGGAATGAATGGAGAACAATCCTCTGTAATCATATGGCTTGGACATATGTTCTGCTTTCTCCTCCAATTGTTTATATTCACTGTCTAAAAGTGGTCCCATTCTTAGCTGTCTCTAGAAGTAATTTGGTAAAGGGAAGCAGGGATCTTCTGTAAAATGGGGAAGATTGGAAACTACAACCTATGTCTAACAAGGACAGATGGTGGCTAAAGCAGAACTAGCCCACATGATTAATGAGTTCCAAAGTCTGACGTTCCAAGGAAATTGTATTGTTTATCTGTTAGTTTTTCATACTGTAATACAAAGGCTCTGTGTGTATGTTTGTGTGATTATTTTGCAGCTGTTTCTTCATACAATCCTTTGACCTGAACATAATGGATTTGTACTAAAACGTGGATTTCCCCACCCTTGGAATATATAAAAGCATTTGGGAAATTAAAATGTTGCCCCATCATCTCATTTGACCCTTTGTCACAAAAGCCAAGGCATTTCCAAAGGGAAAAGGGGACTCCCCCGCCTCTTCTGTCTTGCTGAAAGCATCCATAATGCTTGCAGATTTCCCTGTAGTCATCATTTTATATTAAACATTGTTTCACTCTAGCCAGAAAAATATTTTCTCATGACTTGAGGCATATTTTCCATGTTGACCTATACATTCTTTCTTTCCTCTTCAAAATTCCCCTTGTTTGGTCTTTGATTTGAAACTGGATGTGTGCCCAGAACCTTTTATTTGTTCGCTCTAGCTGTTCAGTATACCCTCTTGCTTCCTGTTTGAAAAGAGCTATAATTTAACTGGCAAATCATATGATTCATTTTCTAAACCTAAAATGCATGACTTGAAAACTGGATGTTTTGAAGAAGAGAGCCTACTGCGGGTTTTAAGAAGTACTTTGAAAATCTAAAATGAATAAGAGAACTATGTAGTGGAACGATTGCCTATTTATCATGTAAAAATACAGTCTGATGTCACAAGCTGAGTCAGTATAATGTAGTAAATGATTTTTAATGCATAAATAGCAAACATTTCCCTATAATGTAATAGGTATGTTACATGTATGTGTGTTATGCATGTATAACCCTCATTTCATAATAAGTATACTCAAGGTAGCTCACAGTTGGTGAAGTAAGACAACAGAATCACATATACAACAAAGAAATTTTAAAAATTAAAGAAATAAAAGGCAACATTTAAATAAAGGCATGCTGAATTGAACCCATCTGTGGACAATTATGTTACTACATGCCATCAAGTTGCCTCAGACGTATGGAGACCCAATGAATAAGTGACCTCCAAAATGTCCCGTCACTGAGCTCTGCTCAACTCTTGCAAGCTAAAGCCTGTGACTTCCTTGATGGAGTCACTCCTCTTCATATTTAGTCTTCTTCTCTTCCTGCTGCCTTAAGCTTTTCCCAGCACTATAGTCTTTTCTAGCAAGTCTTGTCTTCTCATGATGTGCCCAAAGTATAATGGCCTCATTTTTGGCTTCTAGGAAGATTTCAGGCTTGATTTAGAAACCTACTTGTTTCTGGCAGTCCAGCTCTCTCCTGCAGCTCTCTCTGCAGAGCTCTCTCCTGCAGCACCTATTTTGAAAGAATCAGTCTTTTTGCCTAAAGGCTGAAACAGAATTAGGTTCTGATCTTATGGCTCCAGCCAAACTTCTGTGAAATGTATTCTGGGCCAATTAAAAATTCCAAATGATCTGAATGGGCAGGGCCACTTAGAATAAACGGCACTAATGTGGAGAGTCACCTATACTCGTGTCAGAAGCAATCCAGTGATGACTTCCTCAGTGGAAGTATCGGCTGATGGCATGCTCTTGTTGCCCAAGGGATGCTCAAATGTGTTCACAGTCCTCACATTTTCAGGGAGGTTCCTTCCATGACTGACAATGGGAAGAGCAGTAAGGCCAGTCAAAAGAACACAAGAGGTTTACCAGATAAAATAGGTAAATGGTTTAACATATAAAATTGGTGAAATGCATTCCTGATATTTTAATGTGTGTTAAACACCCATCCCAGCTTATGACATGCAATAGAAATGGAGATGGATTCAGCCCTTCTGTTTTTCCTTTGCTGCTGAATAGCTCATTGGCAGGGTTGCATCTGTTTTGAAACAAATTCTTGTATTCATCTCTTGTTTCTCCATATACAGTGTTTCAAACTGAGACACCTACTATAACAGTGGTATATGTGCAGTGGTGTATATGCAATGGTATTTTCATGTGTAACGTATCAAGGATGGAATTACGATTGTCAATAAACAGATATAAAACTTAAAAATAAATAGATAAATAGAAAAATACACTTAAGTACAGGATTTGTATACCTGCAGTTGCTCTGTGATGTCAGGAAACTTAATGAAAAGTTAATGACATTAGGTTTTCAACCATTAGTCCTGGAGCACTTTAAAAATAGCTATACTGCAGCAATGAATGCATATGGTGATAGGGAGTCGGTTCAGGACATTGAATTCATCAAAATATTTCACATGTACTATTGTAAAGGAATACAGTATTTTTTTTAAAAAAATGCCCTCTTTGCTTGCAACATTAGCCCCTCTTGGGATGAAGCAGCTCAAAAGATCATGTTTCTTAGAATAACTGTTTATTTCAGTTCATTTTGTTTCTGTACCACTCATCTCCCTGCTCAGGAAGCCAAAGCTAAATATTTGACTAAATATCAAATTAGTTCTTGACTATAGGTCCATTAAATATGTTTAGCAAAAACTAGCCTAGATGTTTTACTGTCTGTGCTTTACAGCTTTAAAAAAAAAGTCATAATAATTTTGCCTTCAGTTTGCAAGACCCGAGCATGGCTATTAATGTTAGAACCTCTTAAAAACAAAAGGGCTTTCTTTGTGTTAGCTTATGAGCACTGCTTACAATCACTGATTTTGTTTTGCAATCAATAGTATCAATACTACTTTTTTTAAAAAAGCATCAATTTTAAGCACTTTGGGCATGTTATTTCTCAGTATGCAAAACTTGGGGTTCTTTTATAGTGGAAAAGCTGATTTATACTGAAAAATCTAACAGAGATCTACATATTGGTGCTAAACAAGAGGTACAAGGAAGGATATGGACTCTATACCTCTCAGATCTGCATACTTAAATATCACTAAATATATTAACATAAAGATGGTGTCATCAAATTTCATTCGTGAACACACAGATCATGAAAGTAAGTAGTCTTGAAAAAGAGACAAAGCAGGCTTATATATGAAAAACTGTTGGAAACATTGGTTCTGGAGAAGATAAGACTATCAGGTGATATGATAGTTATCCTTAAATATTTGAAGGGCTATCATATGAAAGATGAAACAAGCTTGTTCACTTCAGTTCCAGATAAGAGGACCCAAAGTAGTAGATTCAAATTATGGGAAAGGAGATTTCGTCTAAACACAAGGAAGACCTCCTTGACTATAAGAACTGTTAGTGGAATCGTCTGCTTCAAGAAGCGGTTGTCTCTCCTTTGGAGGCTTTTAAACAGAAGCTTGATGGCCACTGTTCAGGGATGTTTTATTCATGGACTACCTGTTTTTGCAGGAGGTTGGGGTCAGTGATGGTTGGATTCTCTTCCACTCTCCAGTTCCATGATTTTACAACTTTATGAATTATACATAGATATTGGGCGAGAATGTTTCAGCACATTAAGAAATCTGTTGTTGTTATGTGCCATCAAGTCACATCTAACTTATGGTGAACCTATGGATGTGTGATCTCCAAAAGGTCCTGTCCTCAACAGCCCTGCTCAAATCCTGCAGTCTTAAGGCTTTGGGGAGCCAATCCATCTATTTGACCTTCCTCTTGATGCCTTCAACTTTTCCAAGCATTATTGTCTTTTTCCAGAGAATCCTGCTTCTTGTGAGTCATCCAACATAGGACTGTTTCATAACTTTTCCCTCCAGAGATAGTTCAGGCTTGATTTGTTCCATGACCCACTTGTTCATCTTTCTGGTAGTCCAGGGTATTGTTGGATTCTTATGGATGAAAAAACAACAGCACAAATTAGAAGAGGGATAATTCTAGAGATGCCTTAATGCCTTCTTTTTTAATACAG